TATTAAGAATTGTTTCCCTCATTTTACATTTGTCCTATTTCATTAATTAAAAAAATCCTTATATTTGCACACAAATCTGAAACCAACACTTAGTATAGTTAAAAAAAAAAAAGTTTTGGGGCTCCTGAGTGGCTCAGTCGTTAAGCGTCTGCCTTCGGCTCAGGTCATGATCCCAGGGTCCTGGGATTGAGTCCTGCATCGGGCTCCCTGCTCAGCGGGAAGCCTGGTTCTCCCTCTCCCACTCCCCCTGCTTGCGTTCCTGCTTTCACTGCTATCTCTGTCAAATAAATAAATAAGAATCTTTAAAAAAAATACAATTCAAAATATTTTAAAAAAAAAGTTTTAAAATCTTTCCAATGAAGAATTTTGGTGTTATTGACAAGATTTAAAAACAAGAAAAAAGGGCACCTGAGTGGCTCAGTCGGTTAAGCATCTGCCTTGAGCTCAGGTCATGATCTCAGGGTCCTGGGATCGAGCCCCGAGTCGGGCTCCCTGCTCAGTGAGCCTATTTCCCTCTCTCCCTCTGCCTGCTGCTTCGCCTGCTTGTGTTCTCTGTCAAATAAATAAGATCTTTAAAAAAAAAAATAAGAAAAAAATGTCTTTTATATTTACTTAAATATTTACCATTTCTGGCATTATTAGTTTCTATTTATCCAAATGCCCATATAACATCATTTTCCTTCTGCCAAAAAGTACTTCCTTTAACATTTTCTGTGTAGTACATACAGGTCTGCTGGCAACAAGTTCTCTCAGATTTTGTCTGAAAGCTTTTATTTTGCCTGCACTTCCTGAAAGATATTTTGCTAGGTAGAGAATTCAAGGTTGAGAATTATTTTCTTTCAGACTTTATGCTTTTCTTTTTATCACAGCTTTTCACTGAACTGATTATGATGTTCCTTTAGGTGGTTTCTTTCATGTTTCTTCTGCTTTGAGTTCACGGAGCTTCTTAGATCTATATAGGGGCTTACAGTTTTCAATAAGTCTGGAAATTTTTCAACTGTTATTTCTTCAAATATTTTTTCTGCCCCATTCTCTCTCCATTGATTCAGGGACTCCAATTAGACATACGTAAAACTACTTAACAGGGCCTGTGGGCGGTTCAGTTGATTAAGTGTCCCAACTCTTGACCTCAGCTCAGGTCTTGATCTCAGGATCATGAGGTCAAGAAGCCCTGTGCTGGGCTCCATGCTGAGTGTGGAGCCTACTTAAAAAAACAAACAAACAAACAAAAAAACTATTTGATATTGCACTCAAGTTACTAATGCTCTATTCCTTTTTTTCTAGTACATTTTTTTAAAAAGTAGTCTCCACACCCAACATGGGGTTTGAACTCACAATGCTGATATCAAGAGTTACGTGCTCTACTGACTGAACCAGCCAGGCACCCCTCTAGCACATTTTAGATAGTTTCTATTGCTGTGTCTTCCAGTTCACTAATATTTCATTCTATAGTGTCCAATAAGCTAAATTCCATGCAATGTTTTTCATTTCTGATACTGTATTAACTCATATGCATAAGTTCAATTTGGGTCTTTTTACATTTTCCATTTCTCTCACCATCATGCTTGTGTTTTCTTTTACTTTCTTGAACACATGCGATACAACTATAATAGCTGTTTTAATGTCTTTACTGCTATTTCCATCATCTCTTGTCATTTCTGGGTCTGTTTATGTTGACTAATTCTTCTTCTAGTTACAGGTTGCTATTATCCTGGCTTCTCTACATGCCTGGTAATTTTTTTTTATCAGATAATGGACATTGTGTATTTTACACATGTGGCTGCTAGATTTTGTTATACTCTTTCAAACTGTATTGAATTCTGTTCTGGAATTAGTTCAATCTGCTTCCAAGGTACATGCAAAGAAACCTTTAGTCTAAGGTGATACAATTTTTTATAGACTCTATCCTATGCCTTATGAAGTCTTTCCACTGTGCCTTGTGGAAACATGAACTATTAGTTAGTTCCAGAAACTGCTTCACCAAATGCTTTCCAGCAGTTATTTCTCCAGCTATGGAAGTTTCCTTTCTTATGTGTGTAATTCACAGTACTCAGCCAAAGCTTCATGGTAAGCCCTACAAAGATCTCAGAGTGCTGTCTGTGCAGTTTCCTCCATTCTGGAACTCTGCCTCACACACTGTAGCTGCCTTGGCCTCCCTATACTCCTATCTCCTATTTCTGCAATTCTGCAGGGAAACTGGGCTCTGTTGGGACTTCCTCCTTTCTGCTGCCTGTAAACTGCTTCTAGACAATGAGGTAGGGTAATTTTAGGGCTTGCCTTTCTTTTAGTGATAACTTCCTTCAGTAATAACAATCCTATGCTGTTGTCCAATATCTGAAACCACTATTTCAAGTACTTTGTCCAGTTTTCTAGTTGTTTAACTCAGGAGGGCAAATTCAGTCCTTGTTACTTCATCATGGCCAGGATTTTGACAACATAAATGATATAAAAATGCATCACCTTCTACTTTGTTTATAAGATCACCTGACTGATTTCAGGGAATATGGGAAGTCACTACTAAATTTTAACAAACTCCCAATCTACTTGGTGGAGGAGACTATAAAAGGAATATCATAATGTCGGTAATGAAGCCAACAACATAGTTCTTACATGTGGTTCTACATATCTTTACGGAATGAGTCTTTCATGTAGGACAGGTATTATAACCAGGTACCAAAATAAACTGATCCAAGACTCAGACCTAACAATAGCCATATTACAGCTGAGATTAAGAAATAGTTCAAAGTATAAATTGTTTTTGCATAACAAATAAAAAATTCTCAAATGTAAAGAAAAAAAAGAATATAAAAAACTTCCATGCTGAGCACAGATAATGAGAAAGAAAGAAAGCTATGAAAGTACATGACATGTTCAGGGACAAGAGTGTGATTACTGTATTTAGTGAATGAAAAAGATGATGATACAAAATTGTAATTTGGGGGTCAGTTCCCAACAACACCAAAAGCCGGCCAGGATAAGAAGCAACAGTTCTCATTCATTGTTGATGGGAAAATGGTAGAATTTGGAAGATAATCTGACAGTTTCTTAAACAACATACTCTTAACACATGACCCAGCAATCACACTCCTTGGTTATTTACCTAGGTAAACTAAACACTTATGTCCCCAGGATACCCAGACAAGGATGTTATTTATAGTAGCTTTATTCATACCTGACAAAGTTTGGAAACAACCAAGATGTCTTCAATAGGTGAATCTGGATAAACTGTGCTACAGATAGTCAACAGACTATTAATCAGCACTAAAAAGTAATCAGCTATTAAGTTATGAAGACATGGAAAAAATTTAAATACATATTACAAAGTGAAAAAGCTATATACTGTATGATTCCAACCACACAACATTCTGAAAAAGGCAAAACTATGAGACAATAAAAAGATCAATGGTTGCCAGGAGCTGAGGGAAGGGAAAGATGAAAGAGCAAAAGATTCTTAGGGTAGCAAGATATATTCTGTAAGATACTACATTACACATTTGTCAAATTATACATTTGTCCAAACTCATAAAATGTACAATACCAGGAGAGAACTCTAAGATAAACTATGGACTTTGGGTGATAATGTCAATGGAGATCCATTCTGGTTCAGGATGTTGATAGTGGGGGAGGCTATCACGGGGGGGCAAGGAGTATATGGGAAATCTCTATACTTTCTGCTCAATTTTGTTGTCAATCTAAAACTATTCTAAAAAAAGTCTGTTAAAAATAAATGAATCTGGGGCGCCTGGGTGGCTCAGTTGGTTAAGCGACTGCCTTCGGCTCAGGTCATGATCCTGGAGTCCCGGGATCGAGTCCCGCATCGGGCTCCCTGCTCGGCGGGGAGTCTGCTTCTCCCTCTGACCCTCCCCCCTCTCATGCTCTCTCTCTCTCATTCTTTCTCTCAAATAAATAAATAAAATCTTTCAAAAAAAAATAAATAAATGAATCTGGCAACAACATGAAATATAAGCAGACAAGGGACTAAAGTTGAGAGAAATCAGTTAAGAGAATAAAGGAACACTGTAGGCAACACACAAGGATAGGCAAACAATACTGGCAGTAGAAACAGAAGCACTCTAAAACAGTGTTCAAGTTGTTGCTTGTACAGTTGACCCCTGAACAACACAGGGAGTTAGGGGCACCAACCTCCCACACAGCTGAAAATCTGAGTATAACTTTTGACTCCCCAAAAACTTAACTGAAAGCCTACTGTTGGCCAGAAGGCCTTACCAATAACATAAACATTGAATTAACACATTTATTGTATGTTATGTGTATTATATACTCTATTCTTATAATACAGTAAGCTAAAGAAAAGGTTAATAAAATCCTAAGAAAAAATACATTTACAGTGTTGTATCATATTTATTGGGAAAAAAATTCACGTGCAAGTGGACTTCTGCAGTTCAAACTGGGTTATGCTGCTCAAGGGTCAACTGTATATATAACCTAGTATACTAGATATAATCATTGCAGATCTTTCTGCACAAAGAGAAGTAATTATTTTCTCCAAATTAATAGTAACAAAATATTTTTTTGTTTTTATTTTTAACAAAATACATGTGTACCCTGGAACAACTTTCCAAGTTTATATGACAAATATAGGCAGTGAAAATTAGATAATACATAACAAATCACATCCATGTTTTAAAAGTTAGAACTCACCTAAAAAATTTTTTTTCACTTAATTGGGACTCTAAAAAAATAATCAAAATATAACTAATGCTTAGTTTTCTTATATAACGAACTATAATGAAACACCACATTCTTACTGAAGTAATGGTTTAACTTTTTAATGAATGTGAATTGGTATCAGTTTGAGTGAAATCTTAACTTCCTATCAATCTTGACAAACTACTTCCTCCCAGAAAACTCCAAACATTGCTAAATACTGAACAGCTGTTAAAAATCAATGTAAATCACTCAGTGTGGAGAGAGATTATTATTTACAATGACAACAAAAGGAAGAATTACTTTTCTGAAAGTGGAAGAATTAGTCTCACCTTTTTCTTCTGGCCTTATAGGAAAATACTTCTTCTCTGTAGCTATTAGCTCAGGCTTTGGAGCTAAGGAAAGAAAACAAAGTTAATACTTAAAAAAAATAGTTTCAAAGCACAAAGACGATTATACCACTAAACAGTACAGGTTAGTTTTAAAATAACATTAGAGGAAACATGGCTTAACAGAGGAACAGTGTACCAGAATCACTAGGCTAAATATCTAACCCTGCACCTACCACTATTACATGACTAAGTAGTTACTTTGTGGTCTCAGTTCTTTCTTTGTCAAATGAAGGCGTTCATATCATCTACAACACCACTCTCCAGTAGAACTTTCTATGATGATGGAAATATTCTATTTTTGTGCTATCCAATATTGAGTATGGAGACTTGAAATGTTACTACTGTGACTGTGAATTCAATTTTTTATTTTATTTAACTTTAGTTAAATATTAAAAGCCCAAATATGACTAGTGACTAAAAAGCCTCCAACACCAACTTCTATAAAAATTATTTTTAACTTATGCTTTACTTGTTATGGGATTAGGTCAGCAAATACAAAGCTGAAAACTTGGGAGTAGGGAAGAAGGACTTGTATTATTTTAAAATAAAGCAAATCTTCCAAGAAAAATAATTGTACTTCATTTGTAAAAATCAGAAATTAGGGGCTAAAATTTACAGAAACAGAGTAAGAGCCAGATTATAAAACTGTAACTCTGGAAAAGTCTTCTAAGAACACCATAATATATTCAACTGCTTAAAAAAAAATAAACTCTTCTAGTTTGCTTAACCCTTAGCACATAGTCTGAAGAAATACAAATTAGTATTTAAATGAGACATTAACAAATATATTTAATGTGAAAAGGTTAAATTACTAATTGGCCAGATCAATATATTAAGTATTCTATCTAAATACATTTAAGCTTTGTCAATTTTCTTAATTAGAAATGGCAAGTTATAACTAAAGTATCCAAATTACTTTTAAGATCCTATTTTGAGTTTATACTTAAAAAAATACTGACATTAATATATGTAAACACTTAATTTTTATATATTTCTAAAGTTTTATATATCACATCATATATGGTTTTTGCTAATATAAGTGGTTTATACTTAAAACCCAATTTCACCATTTTATAACTTGAAAATATGAAAAACAGCAAACTTTCTTACCTACCTGGACCTTTAGCAGGTGGTGGTGGTTTCTTTGGTTTCTATTAAAATAACAATGGTGAAGATACATGAACAGTTACATGTTACATATTTATACTTAAATTCTGATCATTAATAATCTAAATTGAAGGAATATCTGTCCTCACCGCATCCCTGCCAAAAATTATAAAATAAAAAGATCTTAACAACCAAAAGGTCACTAACAAAAAATTTAATCTATCAGAACAAATGCTGGGGCACCTGGGTGGCTCAGTCGTTGGGCGTCTGCCTTCAGCCCGGGTCCTGGGATTGAGCCCCATGTCCGGCTCCCTGCTCCAAGGGAGGCCTGCTTCTCCCTCGCCCACTCACCCTGCTTGTGTTCCCTCTCTCACTGTGTCTCTGTCAAATAAGTAAATAAAATCTTTAAAATAAAAAAAAAAAGAACAGGGCGCTTGGGTGGCTCAGTTGGTTCAGCGACTGCCTTCGGCTCGGGTCATGATCCCGGAGTCCCGGGATCGAGTCCCACATCGGGCTCCCTGTTCAGCGGGGAGTCTGCTTCCCCCTCTGACCCTCCCCCCTCTCATGCTCTCTCTCTCTCTCATTCTCTCAAATAAATAAATAAATAAAATCTTTAAAAAAAAAAAAGAACAAATGCCTTCTTGATCAAAATTCAAATATGTCAAAACTCACCAGTGAGTTTGGTAAACTCCAAAATATCTTAATGATAATCAAAACTATTCGTGACTGCTTCCCCTACTTTAAGATTCCTAGACACAATTTTACCTCCCTTTAACGACTGAGTAGTACGGGGAAGGAGAGGTGGCAGGGAAAGGAAGAGAGAGACAGGTTTAAAAAAAGAGTGGCTAATAGATGTATCTAGCTTATACTCCTAACTCTTCAGAACTCTCAGAAGATTTAAAGCAAAGGTCTGTGGGGCAGGTGGGTGGCTCAGTCAGGCAAGTGTCCAACTCTTGATTTCGGCTCAGGTCACAACCTCAGGGTCGTGAGACTGAGCCCCACCTTGGGCTCCATACTCAGTGCGGATTCTGCTTATCCCTCTCCCTCCCCTGCTTCTGCGTGTACACACTCTTTCTCTCTAAAACAAATAAATAAAACCTTAAAAAAAAAAGGTTTATTTTTCTTCAATTCATTCAAATTCTCTTGGGTTAATAAGCATTCGTTCCTTTTTTTTTTTAAGAGAGAGAGCAGGGGGGGAAGCAGGGGAGAGGGAGAGAGAGAATGTTAAGCAGACTCCACACCCAACGTGGAGCCCCACATGGGGCTGGATCCCACAACCCTGAGATCATCACCTGAGCTAAAATCAAGATCAGACACTTAACTGACTAAGCCACCCAGGCACCCCAGTGTTCATTTATTTTTAAGACTTAATTTAATGATTTAAAAAACTTGAAATATTCCTAAGCATGTGAGTTTGGTTTTCCCAAATTAAAAAATAACTGAGAGTCAATGCTGTATAAACACCAAATAAACGCCCCCAAAATAATTTGTTCATTAGGCATTAAAATAAAGCACCCTTGGGCGCCTGGGTGGCTCAGTTGGTTAAG